AAGAATAAAAAAAGAGTGAAAATAAGAATTTCCCCAATAGGGGATTAATAAAGTATATATATACAAAAATAATAATAAATATAAAATCTAACCGGCATACATTGTGCGGCGATCACCGGATCTGGACGGGTTAAAACTAAATTCTTATTCCTAATCCTAAAAGTTAGAAAAAAAATCTAAATCCAAGCTAAAATATTAGCGAGCAACAGGGGCGGGTTTGTTTGCTTTACAGGTTTCTGGTTGTGATGCACATTGACGGGTCTCCTCTTCTTCTCTCATCCAACATCTTGTCTCATCCCGATATGTTATCAAACTGGCGTCACACACTAAACACTTAAAGCAGATGTTCTGTCTGCCTTGACATTAATATACTTATTCCGTGCAGGGAAAGGCATCTTCCTGGCTCTCCCCTGATTCTCATTTCCCTTTTCCACTCGTGTCTCACGCATTTGAACAGAAACCTCTGTGTCAAGCATCTTAACCTGAATGGGGGAAGCAATCCAGCTCATTACCACCTGCAGTGGCTTTGAGCTACACGACACCTGGGCTGTTTGAGGATGAAACCATTTAATGGAAAAAAGAGACTGGAGAGAATAGATCAACTGGGACGTTAAGTGCGAGGAGACGGACTGAATTTTTTTTTACCTTTAGGCAAATCCTCCTCATATTACAAAACAAGCTGACTGACTTTTCAAGTTCTAAAAAAGTGAGTATGAGGAGCGAAATGTAGGAGAGTCTTTTAGAAATAAAGTCACATATTCACCTCCAGATAACCTCCCCTGACAATATACCAACGTTCACGCAACAACAAGACAGTGTGGCTACATGAAAACATCATCCAAATATCAAGACTCTGTCAAAACACTTCCTTTCAGGCAGAGGATGATGAAAGTTAGGAGGATGGTGGTGGTGCAGCAGCTCAGATAAGGCTGAGTTCAGAGGTTGGTTTGTTGGGAGAGGGAGCGGTTGTTCAGATGAGAAGGAAGAACGGATCACCATGACGCAACATCATTAGAATCCACCTTCGAGATTGTTTCTGTCAGCGAAGATTTTGAAATCATGCACTGAGGCACGTCATCTAGAATCATGTTCAATGCCATTAGAGAACTAAGAGAATGCTTACAGTCTGAAGCAAAGCCATTTTGAATCATTTGCTAGACGGGACATTTGGCCACCTGAGACAAGAGGACCGCTTATATTGTCAGGATTTGGACAGGAAAGGAAAACCCCATGAGTGGAGGCTGGAAGGAAGGACAGTTGTTAGTTCAATAATAAATAATAACTACATAATACATCAATTATTCTAGATAGATAGATAGATA